AAACGGCCTTAAGCACAGTAGTTGTTGGCCACTTAATTTTTTAGTTTCCTGACCCTTGACATTTGTGTTTCTTGAGAGTAGAGACGGCACTGGAAAGAGATGGTAGCGGGTTGTCCATGAATAAGATGTTGGTGGAACGATGGGATGGGGTGGTAGGAGGAAATAGAAGACAATTAAAAGTTTAGCACAATGACCCAAACTTCTTTTACCAGTAAAAAAAACTCGTCCTATCAAAGCTCACACAATATAGGATGCAGCTCCACTCTGCATTACAACAAATAGTAGAGATAGTACATTTATTGCTTTTAAATCACAGCTGGTCATTGAAGACAAACTGATCATGATAACAGCTGAAATTTATTCCGTTTTTATTATGTCCCAGAAAGTATTCTAAGCATTCTGCATGTGTTAACTTATTTAATTCTCATAGCTGTGTGAGGTAAGTACTATAAATTTTTAACCAGTTTTTGAACTGGTAACATTCATATGGATCAAAGTTCAAAAGATACAGAAGGGATTTACAGGGAAAAGCCATCCTCCCACAGCTGTCACTGAGTGTGGAGGAGGGACTATTCCACGATGCAACTAACTGCTGCCACTCTCCTGCTGGATCCAGTTAGCTCCGGGCCAGAGCGCACTGTTTCTCATACACCCTCTCAGAGGCCGTCTGACCCCGTCCCCTCTGCCTCAGACGTGCTGGGTCCTGGAAGAGGGAAGCACATCAAGCTTTCCCCTTTATCCAGGGTGGGATACGCCCCAGGACCCCTCTCCATTCTGCCCTGTCCTGTATACCCCTTTAGTGCCTGCCACACGGGGCAGAAGACATCTGAGTCATCTGTCCTCTTGCCCGCTGCCCAAGATGCGCCTCATATGTCAGTTCCCTTAATAAACTCTTCAGATGGAGTTGTCCATCTCTTTCTCTTTTGGCTGGCCCAGGAAATTTTACATAATATCAAGTTACCCTGTACCCCTCTCTCAAAGCAGCTAGTATTACTGCTTTTTTTGCTGAGGCCAAATCTATCAAAATGATCTTCTTTAAACAAGTAGTAGCATGTTTGAAGTAGATACTATTACAGTACTTCCCATTTAAAGGTGAGAAAAAAGACACACAGAAGGTTAAAAAATTTGCCCAAGATGAAGAACTACTAGAACAGAACTAGGATTTGAACAATTTACAGAGCCCATGACCATGAGACAACACTGTCTACACTATCATTTCGACAGTAAAATAACTAAATGTAAAAAGTTAACCAATTTTCTTTTTTTTTTTTTTTTAATGTTCAGATGAGATGATACTAGAATATTCAATCCTTCTAATTTGGACCATTTCCAAGCAGAGGAAGCTTAACTCTTAACGCAAACAACAACAAAAACCTTTAATATGAGACATAAATTGAGATGTTTATTCTTAGTAAATTTAAAAAGTCCTGTTGGCTTTTTACCCTACATTCAAGTACACAGGATTTTTTGCTCAAGGTCATGTACCAATAGATCCTTCTTTTCTGTGGTTTCAATTACCCGCGGTCTGAAAATATTAAATGGAAAATTTCAGAAAGAAACAATTCATAAGTTTCAATCATGCACCATTCTGAGTAGCATGATGAAATCTCGTGCCATCTCGCTCTGTCCTGTCCAGCGTGTGAATCATCCCTTCGCCCAGCATAGTCACTTAAGTAGCCACCCTGGTTAATGAGACCCACTGTCAAGGTATCGCTGTGCTTGTGTTCAAGTGACCCTTATTTTACTTAATAATGCCACATTTGCATTACTTTCCAATTGTGCACCGTTCTGAGTAGCATGATGAAATCTCGTGCCATCTCGCTCTGTCCTGTCCAGCGTGTGAATCATCCCTTCGCCCAGCATAGTCACTTAAGTAGCCACCCTGGTTAATGAGACCCACTGTCAAGGTATCGCTGTGCTTGTGTTCAAGTGACCCTTATTTTACTTAATAATGCCACATTTGCATTACTTTTATTACAGTATAATGGTTCTGTATTTATTGTTGTTAAGCTCTTACTGTGCCTACGTTATAAATTAAGCTTTATCACAGGTATGTACGTATAGGAAAAAACACAACATACATACACAGGCTTTGGTACTATTTGCAGTCTCGGGAATCTACTGGGGGTCTTGGAATGTATCCCTTGCGGATAATGGGAGACCACTGTAATTAGTTAATGGTGTATCAAGTCCTACTTCTAAAATATCCAATTCAAAGGATCCTTAGTTTAGATCCTCAATTCGCCTGGACTACTGCAATAGTCTAACTGGTCTTCACTCTCTTCATTCATCCTCTACAGGCTACATTATTTGCAAAGTGATCCCTCTAGTCCTTTGCCTCAATCTCTTCAAAGGTATTTTCAACCAATCAAGTTTAAACTCCAGGATCTGTCCTTAACTTTCCAGCTTTCTTCACAATACACTTAGAATTTTCTATCAAAATATGCTTCAAACTCTAGCTTAGCATCCTCCTGGCCCCTGCTCACTCCTCTGGAATAATTCCCAAAAAACATTATTGCAGCCGTACAAAACTACTCCAAGAGCCCCAGCAAATCAGTCTATATTGTTAGTGTTTGCCTTCAAAAATGCAAGTTCTCTTGGTCTAAATTGGCCTGTTCCAGCTTCTATGTACCCAACTTCTCAAAAAACAGGTCCAACATCACTTAATCCAGAAAGCCTTCTCTAATAACTCACCATCTCTACTGCTTCTGATGCAAATGCCCCTCCTCAGTGCTCCTGTGCTTAATTCTATTTTAATACCTAGGACACTGCCATAATTGCTAGTTTAGTTTGCCAGTCTACTATAAGCTCTTGGAAGGCCGGGATCATTCCCTATTTGACTTTATTCCCCCAGTAATGATTGGATTTGGAATATATTTTGAAGGTCACAAACCAGCAAGTCTGGCTTCTGATTAAGCTGCAGGGAGTAAGAAAGAAATTAAGGATGATTCCCAGGTTTTGGGTCTGAACAAGGGGGTGGATGAACAAGTGGGGGTTGTATCATTAAATGAGATGGAAAAGCTTGAGAAAATTATTGGATATGCCAATGGAGAGGTCAAATAGTCAGTCTTAAGTTTGTGGGGGAAAGCAGCCGGTTAATACATAAATTAAGGCATCATATGCACACAGATGGCATCTAGAGCCTTGGGACTGGCTATTACCTAGGGAGATGGTGCAGATAAAGTACAGTACTATGTTATTTTAGTATGAGAAGGAAAAGCAGAGGAGCAGAGGAGAAAGGAGGAAAACTTGAACAAATGTGGTATTTAGGAAGTTAAAGAAAGTGTTTAAAGAAGGGGAAAGTGCTCAACTGTGTCATGTGCTGCCAACTATGAGGCAAAAAAAAAAA